TCTCTCTCTCTCTCTCTCTCTCTCTCTCTCTCTCTCTCTCTCTCTCTCTCTCTCTCTTTCTCTCTTGTCTATCTATCTATCTATCTCCCTACCTATAAACATACATCTCTCCATACACCCCTATCCATCAGCCACCCACAATCCCCAGCAAACATCACCACCAAAGCACACCAGCAACAAGAACCAAAAGCAAGATTGAAAAAAGGAAGAAAAAAAATGACCACCCTGATGCCCTCAACCCTCTACATACTCCTGCAATCCCGCTCCACGCCATCGACATTCCACTGGTCCCTGTACACAACCAACACCCACGGCCCCCTAACCTGGGGCATGAAACACGATCTTATAGAAAAAGCTCATCGGCGACTATGGACCTACAACAGCGCGCCGGCCAACCTGCTCGAGTCCCAATCGCGGCCGGCCATCGCGGCCGTCAAGGTGGACGTCATTGACGATGTGGAGATGATGCGGGGCGCGCTGGAGGAGTGTCTGGGTAATGTGCCGCGGACGGCGTATTCGTCGCGGTTTCGGGAGGAGATGAGCTGTCGGGTTTGGGTGAAGGAGGCGCTGTGGGGGCTTGACCAGGGCGGGTTTATTGATCTTGGGGATCGGGGGAATGTGTCCGGCATTCAGGGCGTGGAGAGGGAGGTGGTTAGGGCTGGGTTGGTGGCGATGTGGAGGGGGGTTTTTGGGGTGTATGAGTTGGGTGAAGAGGGTGTTGGGGTGAGAGAGGTTGGATAGCTGGTTGTTGATTGTTAATGTGGTATTTATTTTGTATGGTTTCGGGGGTTGGGGTTTTGGGTGCTCGGAGTGTGAGGTTTTCGTGGTGGTGTTGATGTCTCTTTACTACTAACTACTAGTGGATACGTCTACCATCACTAGTTAAGAAATGGAGACAACTACAGGTTCATACCTGTAATCCCTCCTAAGAGAAACTTTTTTTTTTTGTTTTGAATTCTCACTTTCCTATTTTTTGACATTCAAATCAAATTACATCGGGGCCATTTTAAACCTAAATGCGAGGACCGAAGGATTTCGTCTCATATCATTTCCCGCAATCCATATCACGTCACTTTCCAGGAAGAGGCATCGTAAGGGTTTCTTCAAGATTCTTTTCGTTTTCGACCTTTCAGTGGACCGGCGTCGGGGTGTGCCGGTAGAATACCCCCCGGCTATGAGACTGACTGTATTTAATTGCCGCCAAGGCTGGGGAAGTTCTTCTCGTCCACGGTGACAGGAGCGCTGCGCTCAGTGCGCTCACCGCCGCGGGGACCGTTGCCACGGCCACCACGGGCACCACGTCCGCCACGACCACCACGGCCACGGGGACCGCTGTTGCCACGGGGGGCCTCAACAAAGCGCATGTCGACCTCAAGGACGTTCTTCTCCTTGCGAGCCTTCTCACGCTTGGCCTTCTCGGAGCTACCCTTGATGTAGTTCTCATCCTCCTCACGCTTGAATTCCTTGGCGCTGGCCCACTTGGAGTCAGCCTTGGAGCCCTCGTTGGCGGCACGGACGGGCTTGGCGCTGAAGTCACCGGCAGCGGCCTTCTCAGCAAGGTAGTCGTTATACGACTTGGCCTTGTCAGCAGGCTCGGCCTCCTCGGCGGGAGTCTGGGGCTCGTTCTCGTCGGCCTGGGCGATCTTCTCACCGGCGCGCTCATCGTCCAATTCCTTCTCGCCGCTCTGGCCACCCCAGCCCTGGTTCACCTTCTTTCCAGAGTCGCTGCAGTGCAACACAGGTCAGTTTCGGAACGATCCCAGTAAAAATCACATCACCTGCAATACTTTAAGAAGGGTAGGAAGCCTTACGTCTGGCCGGTACGGGACTGACGGTCGGTACGGGCACGTCCACCACGGCGGGCACCACCTTCCCTCTCATCGGTGGGCTTCTCGCGGTTCTGGTTGCGACCAGCGTTGCGGTCACGGAAAGCTATACGGAGCTGGAATTAGCCGGAAGGCCCGGATAACGGCAAAAAAATAGAAGAGACTATCACATACCGGCCTCATTGCCAGAGAAGTTGTTACCACGGCGAGAGTTCTGGCCGGGACGGGGCTGGCTGGGAGCCTCCTTGGGGGCATCACGCTTGCCTACACGAGGTGCGGGCTTGTCGATAGCTTTCGTGGGAGGAGCGGGGGTCTGCTGGGTCCAACTCGGGATCATTGCCTGAAAGCGAATCGCGCCAGTACGTTAGATGATGTAATGACTTTGACAGCGGAGTGATTTGACAATCGCAGCATGAAAGAGTAAAATCCATAGGGCGCAACTCAGGAAGGGTTTGTATTACCAAGAAGCTCGTAAAGGTTCTAGATATGAGACATCCGTCAGCATCGCGTTTCACTTTTTTCATTTTTTTTCATCTTTTCTTTTTCTCCGTCCCCTCTCTGCACCAAGTAGATTCTTCACTAGAGCACTTTTCATCCCCACCAATTGACTTGCCCATCGATCTGATTTCGAAATCCAAAAGACCGGGGACAACAGTAGCTCCTGAACACCATTCCCGCACTGTAAAAAGCTCTCTCGCACGTACCTTGGACCGGACGTCCGCCATGACGCCTGGTTTTATGAGGGGCCTTCCGGGGAAGGCTCTCCGTTATCGCAGCAATTCGGTACGAAAAAGGGCGGGAGAAGGCGACGAGCAAGGCAGAAACCTAGACGGCGTAGGTATCCGGCCTCTCCTAAATGGATGGTATGGGTAGTTTAAGGGAAGGGGGGGTGATCGGGTGGATGATGACTTGAGGTGTTGGAGACAAACGTTTGTGGTTGCTCTGCCCCAATCCGGTAAGGTGTGCTTGCTCGCTAAGCGAATTCGGGTACTCGTGCCGTGATTGGCTGGGGTCTAGGGCTTTAGCCCGGCAATGGCGTCACGCGGGGCTTGCAGATGGCATCATGAGCGATCAACGTCAACTGGTGGCTGCTCCCCTTCGACCTCTACGTCACTTTCCCTCTCCGATGATGATCCATGATGCCGTGAACAAGAATCGTCCTAAGCAAGTAGCAGTACAAGGTGGTATTTTCTTTCCTTCCTTCCAATCATATCTCTCCCCGTCTCAACGTCTCCTGTAACCCTAATCCATCGATACATACATACATACATCTTCAACCCATAAAGTGAACCATAGACAACGAAGAAATTTTTTTTTTCCTTTTCTTTTCTTGAAACCGCAATACCACAAAAGACACGATAGGATAAAAAAAAAAGAAAAGAAAATTAAAACGGCCGTGCCACCTCATAACCCAGCATAACAAGATATGTCCAGAGAATCAAGACTGCTCGGCAGTCCCCTTCCGTAGCTTCACACATATACGCATCATATACACCAACAAACTGTCTTTTGAAACCTCGCAAGCATCTCTTTTTTTTCAATCAACAATCAACACAAGCAAATGGTATCAACCGCAAAACGCCGGGCAATGCTTGAAATCACTTTTGTCTTCCGATGCCATGCCGAGGGATGCCAGAACGAAGCCGGATGTGAATCAGAATAAAAGTCAGTTCTTATCCTTATTTCCCATGGGTATATTTCCTCGACAGATCGTAGACGACTAAAAGAAGAATAATGAGGTAGGGGGGAAATTAACATGGGCTAGCCAAAGTATTGGACCGGGAGTGGAGACGGAAAGTGGTGTTTAGTGACGGGTATTATTCTGTTCGTAGCTGAAGGGGGTCTGGAAGTGCATGCTCGCACTCAGACCAAAGGGATCTGCATCGAGCATGGGCTCATAGTTTCCCAGAAGCTGATTCGTGTTGTTATATGCTCCATTGGATCCTTCTCCCGAATGTGGGTTGAATTGTGGAAGATTATGGTGGCCCATGGAGTGAGAGCCCGGAACCGATGCGGCAGTGTTAAAGCCAGACACGTACGGCGAGGCGCCCACGGATGACTCATGCTCCTCATCGATCAGGTCAGCCTGAGCGTCATACTCTTGTTCTAGAAGTTATGGTTAGTCACCAACTCGTTACTAAAATCATCGTCGGAACGGGAAGGCCTACCAAGCTGGTCATAATGCTTTTGGAATGGCGACGGGTAATATGCTGAAGGGACACGGGGTCCTCGAGGGCCTGCACTGCCCGGCAGAGCCGACTTCGGATCGGTGGTATCGGACTGGGCGACGCTCATGGGAGGCGATGTTTGACTGATATTCCTCGAGTGCGACAGGCGTGAGTGTTGTGCAGCCTGCTGAGGGTCGACTCCAGCCGGGGACATGGCTCCTTGGAAAGCAAACCCAGGTGACTTGGCATGAGACGGCGAGGAGACGTGAGATGGAGGCGTAGCCTGAAACTGGGGGGAGGGGATGCCGTACGCCCCGTCACGAGGCTGTGGCATTCCAAAAGGCTCTCCTTTGGGTGCAATTCCAGTGGGATGCCTTTGAGCAGAATTCCGGTTCATCGCTGCACGCTCCAAGGATGATGGGGGTTTCCCCGCCATGGGGTTGGGCTTCGGGCCCCCTGGAGCGCCAGCCTTCAAGCGCAGTTCTGCTTGGACATCGATCCCTATGTATGGTCAATCCATGTTTTGTTTTACTTTCTCTGGTTCACTGGTGTGTTTCACAGAGGACCAGACAGGATGACGAACCTTTCTCAAGTAAGATGCGTTCCAACAGGGAATTCTTATATCGCAACATCAGACACTCATCGGCGGCCGTGCGATGGTTCTGCTGCAAGGTCTGCAGGGACTCTTCATTGCGCTTGATAGTAGATTCGAGCTGACGGATGTACTCGGTGCGACGTTCACGGAAGGCAGCCTGGGCCTGGCGGTTGCGTTGCTTCCGTTCCTCAGAGGTCGCATAGATCTAAGACGAAGGTTAACTTAAAAGAAGCTTAAACAAATAAGGCGGGCGATCATGACGATAAGGACAGTAGATCAAGATCAAGATAAGCCAGTATAGGTGAGTGGCATCAACAATAGATAAATAAATAAACAAACAAAAAAAGGTACAGGGATGGGCAAAGATAAGAGAAGCGATCAATCAAATCAGAAACATAATGGGCGATGATAATGATAACCGTAATGCGGGGCCCCGGATTGTCATCACACACACACCACATGGCGGGTAAAATAAAATAAAATAAAAAGGTAATAAAAAAAATAAAATAAAAGGGGAAAGGGAATAGATCTTACGTACAGGTTTTCTTCCACCCTTTCGTTTCTGCGTCTGGGCCACATCTTGCGTTAAGATCTCGCCTTCAGCCTCGGGGGTTGATACCGCTGAACTGATCGAGCCCTCGAGTACAGTGGGTTCGGTTTTAGGGACAACCTCCATGGCGGTGTCATTTGGATTGGGATTCGAGGTCTCAACCATAGAGACCATTGGATTCTATTTGAGGGGAAGTATAAATGTCCCCTTGACCTCCAAGAAAAAAAAAGTAAAAAAAAGTAGTGTCCCTTTTTGCGTGTATTGAGATACACACGGGGCCTTGGGAAATAGAGTGGTAGAAAGTGTTTAACAAAAAAATTCGTAACTGATATCCCAAGTGCCGACCCCGATGATGGCGGACCTCTTTTTTTTTTTTTCTTGCCCTTGTTCACCCCAAAACCCTCAAGGTTGATAGTAGCCGCCGGAAAAATAAAATCCAAAATAAAAATAATTCAAGATTTTTCCGGCGGGGTGATTGATAACTTCAAGCGCAAGAAACGCGCGGCTAGGGAGTTAGTAGGGACGTGCGAATAAGGCCAGAAGTTAGCAAAAGGGCCAGCGGAAGGAGTGACATAAAGAAAATTGACGATGGATAAAGAGATAACCAGAAGGTAGACAAGTAAGAAGGAGGAAGGGGGCTGAAGGTGGGAAGATGTGAGGTAAAATTATTTACTAAAAAAATTGGGCAAAAGAACAGGATGTTAATAAGAAGGGGGGAAAAAATTAAAAAGGAAAAAGGAAAAAAAAGAAAATGGAAAAGGCGGCCTCGGGAGGGCCCAGAGTGAGAGAAGAGGAGGAACTCCAACCAAGAAAAAAAGAAAAAATTGAAAAAAATTAAAAAAAAGAGGGTCAGACGGTTCGAGCGTAGAACTTTCTCTTTTAGGCTTAAAGCCAGGCCGAAGAACAAAAAAAAAAGAGGCCAACAAAAAATCCACTTTATTTACTGGACACCGATGGAGGGGGTTGACAACTAGTCACAATCAAACATGAACAATAAAAAGAAATAAAATAATACGATTTACCCCTCAGCGTCTGACATTCTTTTCCTTTCTTTTTCCATTTCTTCTTTTTTAATATAATTGACTTTGATCGCCTCCCTCACCGGGGAACATAGTTAGAGATCAATCCTTCCTCCCAAATGTCATGGGGTACAAGTACATCAGTCAATCGAGATCCTCCGTCGACTTACGATCTCCTCTCTACTAGTAGTAGATACTACGGAGGATGGGGTCTACAGTTCGTAGTTGACTCTGTCCACCATGATCTCATCGTCGGGGTAAGTAGTTTCACTCGAATGCAAGAGGTTGCCTATTCCCTGCTTCTACCTTCCCTTGTTCTTTCATTTTTGCCCCCTTCTTCTCCCTCTCCTTCCTATTTGTCTCGACTTCTCGGCAACGGCACCAAAGGCGCTCCACTCCCAAGAGGTCGGACACTGCCGAAGATCCGCCCTCCGTCCAGACAACAAGACTCGTCAATGCCTCCGTCACTCGAGTTTCCCCATCTAGGCAACGGGTGGAGAGCGAGAGCAAAGTGACAGTACATGGCTTCCTCCTTGGAACGTGCTTAGTTCACTGGATTCTCGAAGGCTGGGCAAAAAAAAAAAAAAAAAAAAAAAAAATTAAGAAAACCACAAATGAGAGGGGGAAAAGGTATGCCGGAGGAATGATGATGTTCATCCCCCATCCCCATCCCATGCTTAGCCCTTCTTGATGCCTCGTTCCCATCTGGGATCCCGTTCGTACTAATGCCGATCCAAAACTCTGGGAAATCAGGCTGGCCTGGAGAAAAAGAGGGGCGCTAGATGTTGGAGACATGCATCCGAAGTCATGCGATGGATCAGAATTTGCAGTCCCCGGACGGAGGGTCCCTGTTCGACAGCCAGGAGATGAGTAGATGGAGTTACGTCGTATTCTGTGATTCACAGTATTTGGGGCGTCGTCGAATCGAGTCACGTTTTGCCCGCGGAGAAGGGTTCCTTGTCACCTGACCCCCGTCAAGGTTTCCCACCGGCGTAGTACTTCTCATGTAATTACTCCCTCAACCATTGACCTTGGCTGTTGGAGATGCACTGTCATACTTCACATCCCAGACTGCTCATGCCTCCCGGCGTTCGTTCGGTCTTGGCAAATTCTTCTCCATCCCAGGGCTCAGGACTCAGAAGTACTTTGGAACTTGGTTCGGTTTGAGATTTCTTTCTCCTTCCCTCCCCCCCACCCTAAAAGTACATACCATCTCCTTTCTTCCAAGTTCACTGGTGTTCCTGTCCAGTCTGGAAGAGGGAAAACACCGGGATCAGCCGACGCGGTACCAACAAGCCGACTCCACTGTGATCGTTGACAGTCCAGTCAGTCATACGATGTTCATTCCCCATAAGAAACAACAATAGCCGAAACTTAAATCCTACTATTTCCCACCATGGTTGGGCTATCGACGGCGTTTCGAGAACATTGCGATCAGGAGAGGTTCGTCAACTATTCTGTCTTGGCGGAAATAGTCTGAACGGTCTTCACGAAACATCTCCTGTGGATGATTTCATGTGGATTTATTTCGACCATGGCTGGATCGATGCCCCTCCAAACTAGGAGACCCTCACAATGGTGGTACCCTGGAAAACAAAACAGGTGTAGGTCGGAGATTGCCAGTCAAGATGGACTCCTAACCTGGCGCAAGAGTAGACGTAAGATCGAAATAATAATAATAATAATAATAATCAAAGAACTACTTGGCTGACTCCAAGTAAACCGGCGCAACAACATCGCTGAACAACCATCATATCATTATATAAAGACATCCTCGATATATGTACAATCTATCTACGCCTCCGACGAAGCCTACCGTACCTTCTTCAGCTTATTCCGCTTCCGCCCTAACACGTCGCGACCCTCCTCAATCTCTCCAGTAGCTTCTCGTTTAGCCTCTCCAACTTCCTTGAGCACGCCGCCGCGCACCACCCGTCCCTCGATGCTGACACCCTCCTCGCTCCATTCTTCCATCTGTCGTTCCACTCGCTCCTCAATCGCTAGCACTAATTGTACGTCTCGTTGTCCAACTAGGGTAACCGCTTCGCCGTGCCGTCCCGCACGAGCGGTACGACCGACACGGTGGACATAGTCGTCCGGATTGCGTGGTACATCGAAGTTGATCACCAGACTGACCGATGGGATATCCAGACCACGAGACGCGACGTCGGTCGCTACCAGAACTCGGGCAGCGGAAGCACGGAAACGCGCTAGGTTAGAGTTACGTTCGGACTGAGGTAGAAGACTATGTAGTGAGGTGACTCGATGGGAAAGGCGGCGAAGCATCCGCTCCAGGAGATCGGCGGTCTTAGTGTGATTGCAGAAGATAATAGCCGGCTTAGTGGAGTTCCCTTCCGTAGACAAGAGCACGTGTAAGAAGGCCTCGCGGTGCGTCATGGGGACCTTGAGGTAGGTTTGTTTGAGCGTTGGAGGGGTTGTGCCTTTATTCTCGGTCGAGATCTCAGTAACAAAGACCGGCGGTTTGTTCTCAGCTCGAGGCATGGACTTCAGAGCGCGCACTTCGGGGGTCAATGTTGCGGTGAACAAGAGCGTTTGACGTTCGCTGGACGGTGGGAGAGCGGATAGACAGGTTTCTACGTCAGGAAGCATGCTTCCAGGACCAGGAGCCAGAAGTCGATCGGCTTCATCAAGAACGACCATGCGGACGCGCTTCAGTCCACGCACCGTATCCTCACCGGATGTATTGACGTGGTCTGCGAGTCGACCGGGTGTCGCAATCACAACATGGGGCCGCTGCGAGAGAGCAAGTGCTTGGGATCGCATATCTGTTCCTCCGGTGATCAAGAGTGGCTTCATGCTCTGAGGTGCCGAGATCGCCTTGACTTGTTCGTAGATCTGCAACGCAAGTTCTCTAAGAGAAAAACGATTAGCATCGTAGCCTCTAAGAAAAGATTTCAGTGACTGGTAACGTACCTTGTAGGAGTCAGTATAATTGCGAAGATGCCAAACGGATCCTCCGCCCACTTCTGCAAGATAGGAACCGAAAAGGCAATTGTCTTTCCGGAACCTGTTCGGCTACCTCCAATGCAATCTCTTCCTTTCAGAATCTCCGGTATACAGGCTTTTTGAATGGCCGTGGGCTTTCTAACCGCCATAGTCGTCAGGGAGCCCACCAACCACGGCGAAACATTGAGTGCTTTAAACGAAGACTCCTCATCCCGCAGTCCAATCTCAAGGGCATCACGAATCAAGACAGGGTTGTCATTCTCCGTGGTTGTGGCAGGCTTGTCATCTTTTTCTCCCTTCTTCCTGATACGAGAGAGGGTGGGGAGCGGCGCCGGCGCAACATAGGAGTCCACTGAAGACTCCGATAGACGTCTCCTTTTGGGCGCACGATTTTGCAACTCCGTTTGCTCAACGTCTGAGGAGTCGGAGGGCTCGTGAGAGCCGTCCGATACGGGCTCCGGGGAGCGAGAAGGCGCCATTGTTATCTGTTCAAACCTGTTGGCTCTTCTGCGTGCTTCATGAAATTCTTAAATTTTGCGGCAGAAAAAGTTGACCGCGCAAAGGCGGTGTTCCCAGATGGATCGAACCAATCAGGTTGTCGAGTATTATCGATAAGATTTAACCCCCGAAAGGGAAATTTGGTAGTGTGATATGCCAGAGTACAGAAGTATCATTTACCCGTATACCTTTATTACTTTACTTTCAAGAAAGAATACTCGTTTACTACTAGTAGTAAGGGACTATATACAAAAGCTGGCCCTACTACTATTGAGCGCGAACACATCACTATTGAGTCCAACCCAAGCCAGGTGGGCATGAATGGGTTCAATCATCATATTGAAGACACAAGCAGATAGATCTCAGTGCAAGTTGTGCCGAAATAGAGCAGGCTCTTTCCACTTTCGTGAATTTGGTTGGGTGATGAAATCTCTGGGAGTTTCGGATTCGCCTTTTCGGTGGCACTTTCATCTTCAAAAGAATTGAGTGGCCCTGAAGGTTGCAACTGCTGTGGAACTGGTTGAGGTGGAGGACTGCCAACATGTAGACGAGTGGGGTTAGAGGCCTTATTTCGATTTTTATTTCGATAGCTACCAGCTAATAGCCTAACCACTCTCCATTATACATGTATACATGACGTGAAAGAATGGAGTCCACATAGATTTTAGATTTGGGCCCACATCCCCAATGCCAACATTAAAATGACATTGCCAGGGTAAATTTAGACATTTACCTCCTTGCCATTTGCGACAGATTATTTGTTATGGCTTTGGGATAGTCAACAGAGTTAGCCCAATGACTCTTCCTTAGGGTCAACCAATGGAGGATTAGAGCCATGGCACAAAGCCCTCTCATACAGCCAAATGGAAATGCATAGTAGTGCAGTTGCATCTGATGGCCTGTCCGGGCGTACATCCGATCAGTAACCTAGACGTAAAGATAACATATCCCTGCAGTGACCTGGCTGAATCAATGCCAAACTTGAGCCCAGGAAAGTCAGATCGAAATTCACTCCTTCGTATGTATTATTATGCTCAGAGTACTCCCACACAGCACCGAAAATGCAGCCGTATGCCTTAGCTATTGTCCTGTTGATAATTGACTCTGACCTTGGCTTAGGGGATTTGATTTGGGCGTGACAACTACACCACAAGCTGCTTGTAGCTTGCAGGCGGCATCTTGTTCGTTCAGGTATACCACAGAGGAGTAGCCAAGCACCCATATAGAAGTTGGATTTGAATTCAGGATGAGAAACTCATGAATGTCTTAGTAAGTTAGATAGAGAGATGAGAGGAGAAGTCCGTCAGACTGAGGTTCCTGCCACTGAACCTAAGGTAATGTCGCTCGACGATATAAGTGTAGGGCTCGTAGGCTGAAACGAAGATTTCCTAACGAAATGGCTTTGAATTGCTTCACTAAGTTGTTATAATGGATGTCAAGTAGTGCTTGTCACGTCCTGCGGCTTGTCTGGAGCATTTGCACTTTGCATGTTGTCCCCACCTTGCAGGTTTTTATCGGTCAAGCAATATTTGAACCCGGGATTGAGTCATTCTCTCTTGCACTTGTCATCGCCCTTTTGTATCACGCTGGTGCGATACATCAATGTGCTCTGCTGATACTGTTGCCATTCATGGGCTCCGTATCCAATCGGTCAGCACCGTACCGGCCAACTGAGATGTAAGATATAGGGACTCTGTCCTAGATACCCGTTAACAAGCTTTGAAATTGATCCTTAGAATCAGCAAACCAACTCATTCCCTTGTGGTCTTATAACGAATAGCCAACTCATCAGCGCGCGGGTTCCCGCAACGCGATCATGGGTAAGATTCACTAAGTATGAATCCTACTAAATGAAAAAATAAACAGATGATAAAGGCAAGGATAATTGTTAAGTGAAGTAAATACACTGTATCGGACTCCCAGGAAAGTTGACTGTTTCCCCTGTGCATACATATTGTAAAGACTTCAGGGCTAGCCGATCGGCTAGGTTCTCTGATACAGCTCCTCAAGCTGTAGAACTCCGATCTACCGGCTTTTCCAGGTATCAGATCGTCAAGGAACTCAAAGCAGAAGGTCTAGGGGGTAACGACAGCGGCTCCAATTGACCTGAATAGAACACAACACGCTTTTGAAAAAGGTTCGATTGACTGAGTGCTCAGTTGCGTTTCCGAAACTAACCAATTCTTTACCCAGAATGGATGCTGCTGTACGGAAGTCAGAGTTAACTAAAGTAAAATTAGTATAATTTTAAATTCTACCTGTAGATATATTACTTACTTCGGCTGAGTCTCTGGCGTTTTCCAGGGCGAGTTTTTCGATAAAGCGTATTCGATGCAATACTCTTTCTCATCTCTTTTAACCGCTGGCGAAGCAGTCTTCATATTCGACATATTCGGGAGGCTTCGCTGTAGAAAAACCTGGGGATCTCTTCGGTGGTTCAAGGGGGGGTACATAGGTACGATTGACTGTTAACGCATCTAGGTTTTCGTTCCAATCGTCAATGTCAATGGCATACCCATACACCAATATGAACGTGCAAATAGCGGTTCCGGCATTACGGGCTATTTCTTGCTAGTGAGATATGGCCGCTAACGGGAATGACGCATTTTAACATTGGTCCTGAATAGCGAGTCTGATCATAATTTGGTGGGCAAATCCATTCCATCTGCAAGGCCATGAAGAAATGTAGCGGTTGAAGATACACAGGATGGCATGCTGCTGATTTCCGATTTGAACAGCTTCGAGTAAGCTTTGCCATCGATAGAAAAGGGTGCTGTCTGTACTGCGGACGGTCATGAACACCATACTCATATACTTGGGTGTTCGAGAACTCTACTAATGCCATCGGCCGTAGAAGGTAACGTCCGTCTTCGTTTCCCTGTTTGATGCCCACATTACCCTTTCCATTGACTTTATAAATCACAACGTAATGGAGTAAATCTGGTATCGATTTCGCGGAGCCCGTTTATGTTGATTGGACCTCACTGAGTCCCATGGATATATGCACCTTAAAAAAAAAGAACAAGAAAAGCTCGGCCGGAGAGGAATATGAAGGGAAAGAGAATGTTGTGGGAAAGGAAAGGTTTAAATAGTGGAAAGGATGGAATTCATGAATAGGTGCAGCCTATGGTCGTACACAGGAAAGATATTCATTCCTCTTTTCGACATTAAGTGGGGTAATTAGGCACTTCACCACACGTATGATGCCAATTCTGACATGATATTCATCTGGACATCGGGAGTATTGTGGCTACGTGCTTCTGGTAATACCCATACCAACTATTCATGCCAATGCCATTAACCGTGATCATTCTACTGAAGTGAAGTCCACCAGGAAAGTCTAGTGCGCTGATGGGTCCAGTCATATATGCTTCTTTCGGGAGATATCCTTGCCAATGCCACTCAATTAGATACAAGGAACATGCAACTGCTGTTAAGAACACGAAGAATATGCACTCCAGATGCTTACAGAAGATACGAATGAATTAGCAAACTACTATGAAGAGGCCGGCGACCTCAGAAAACTACAAAGTACAATTGTTAGTAAAAGTAATACCCATCGCCCTGTTATCAAACTAAGCCGGTTTCCACATTTTCCCTAGCTTGCACCTAACACGACAAAATAGGGCAAATACGATACTGAGTCTTTAAGCGGGCGGAGGAGGAGGAGGAGGTTGCTCGCTCGGGGGCTATAACGAAGGTCAGCAAGGCATTCGCCTAGATCATATAGGTCCGAGGGAACATACAGGAGGTGGTGGTCCTTCACCAGGAGGAGGGGGTGGGGGTGGTGGGCTGCCACCGGAGCCATAGTACATAGGCGGCATGCCCGGCGGAGGAGGAGGCACTCCCATGCTAGAAGAAGAAGCCCCCGGAGCGCCCATGCCCGGGGCGGGAGGAGCGTATCCGCCATAAGCGCCATAACCATACGCAGCCTGTCCACCCGGAGGGGGCGGAGGGGCTTGCTGTTGCTGCTGCTGTTGCTGCTGCTGCTGCCAGGGTGCAGCGCCAGGGGCTCCGTAGCCACCCTGCGAGCCATATCCATAATCGCCTCCACGGCTACTCTGAGCCCATGGGGGTGCGCTTCCCTGGTCACGCGATCCATAGTCATCACGGGAGCGGTTGTCTCGGCCTCTCTGCTGCCAAGGAGCCACATCACTGGGCGGTGGCCCACGCTGCCACGGCTTCACATCACGGTCGTCGTAACCCTGATCGGGACCAGCTTCAATGCGGCGAGGGATGTGGCCATCTTCACCCGGAGCTCCTCCCGACAATTCTTGCATGAGTTGCTGACAAAAAAATTAGTATATATTTGATTGATAAACCCAAGGGCAAGATGGCACTTACCTCCATTTCGCGGTCGACAGCGTCGCCTCCACCAATAGCTCTACGGCCTCCTCCTCCAGCACCAGCACCACCGTAACCACCATTGTTACGCCAGTCGGTGCCTCTCTGGCGGTCAGGACAATCACGAGCCATGTGACCAGCGTTGCCACAAACACGACAGATGATATTGGCGGTAAAGTTGCGCTGCTCTGGACAGTCATACTTGCGATGTCCGATTTGGCCACCTAAAAAGAGTCAGAAACACTGAACAAGTTGCAGCGCACAGATGTACTTACAGTTTTGACAAGCCTGGTTCTCATCATCACGCAGAGTACCGTTAAGGGCGGCAAGTTCTCGAAGCTGGTTCCGCTTGAGCTCGTTCTGACCCTCGGGAATCGAAGCAGCCTGTTCATTGTAATCAGTAATTGATTAACATAGAATGAGATAGGGAAGAACGTACCGTTTCAATAACGTTATGCACTAGTTTCTTTGCCTTGTTAACCTTTTCTTCAGTGTCTGCCATGATCAAACAATGGAGGTCTTCTTCCTGGTTGCTAGCGTGAGCGGCGTCAGATCGTCCCTTTCCTTCCTTGACAGAGCCCTTGCCACGAATAGCAATCTTGGCACCGGATTCGGTTTCCATTTTCTTCAAGGTATTACCACGAGGTCCTATGAGTAAGCCAACTTTAAAAGGTAGCAGAAAGCTAAGTGTTAGTTCAAGCTGTTATTAGAAAGAAATGGGAGAGCAATGATAAAATGTTCAACATCACGCATCAAGGGTTAGCAAGAAGCGAGCCGAAAAGGCACCGACGGGCGATGTCTTTCTTACGGGCCCGACTCGAGCAAAGAGTCATGAAGTACACAACACAGGAATGGTTAGGAGTTAGAGGGTTAGTTATCATACTGAAGTTAATTTCTGGATAGTCATTCACTGGAACGTAGACCTTCTCCTGAGTCTTGGTAGGACGTCTGTAGTCAGAAGGCGGGTGGTAGTTAGGAATGGTCTTCATGGCCTTCTCGACGAGCTTGTGCCGCTCATCCTCAAGGCGCTTCCGGTAACGGTATTCCCTAGTGTTTACACGTCTGCCAAAGTTATCGTATTGCGGAGGGGGTGACGGAGACCTGCAATTCGAAGATGGATTAGCTAATGCTATGATGATGATGATCGCATGAAGCGAAAGGGCTGAGCGTACCGGTCACCATCCGCTGGGACGACATCGTTGATACGAAGCTTTTGGCTAATCTCCTCAATACGAAGATGAAGCGTATAAGCTTCAAGCTGCTCATTGGTGAAGTTTGCCATGATCATCGTGGGCAAGCCCATGAGACCAGCAGCCTTGTTCTCTTGCGCATCGCCCCAACGGTTGCGCTTCTTGCGCTTCTTGACCCCGTCAGCTGGAGGGTCAGCTAGACCAATTCTAGTAAGCATCTGCACACATATAAATTTATAAGAGGTTAAGGGTGAAAGCAACTTACCTCGAACAGGACTTCTGCCACGTTTGTGCTCCCCGACAGACGAAGGAGTTGCTGTGCGGCTCTCCTCCTCTGCGGCATCATCACCACCAAACCGTCTCCGGCCCAGAGGGACGTTGTTGGAGCCTGTGACTCCTTGATTACGCCAGGCCATTTTCCCTGGACTTGCGCTGCAAATGAAGTTAATCTATTGCTTTGCGATGTGAGTAACAGGATTAGTGGCTATTAATGAAAAATAACAATGAGAGTGAAAAAGTAAGGTGATATCAAGGCGGACTGTAGGCGAGGTGGCAAGCTTTTGTATCCACGTGAGATGTGATGACTAAGCATTAGAGCTTCCATAAAAGAAGAATGACGAGAGAAGGGCTTTGCATGATCACATTGATTTCTATTCACGTAGCTAACATGGATAAAATAATTAAATTATAACTTCACGAGTCACATATTCTGCTACAGAATCGTATCGTTTAGTGCTTAGCGTCAGCTTTCATGCCCTGCATAATCCAATCCCGGGCTTTAGCCGCGTCCTCGTCCATAGTTTTCTGGTCCTTTAGGCGCTCCTTGATAGTATGAGGCGTTGGAACATGGCGACCCTTCTCGACGCCCTCCCGAGCGGCCATACGCTCCTCCCACGCCTTCAAGTGCGGGAACTCTTCAATATCGACACCGGCCCATCCAGCAGCCGCAATCCATCCCCAGTGCGAAATATCCGCAAGCGAGATGTGGTCACCGACGAGGTATCCTGACTTGGAGCTGGCAAGGTGCTCATCGAGAACGCCGTACAGCCGCCTCGTCTCGTTGGTATACCGAGTCATGCCGTATTGGATGCGCTCGGGTGCATAGCGCACGAAGTGGTTTGCCTGGCCTTGCATGGGGCCTACGCCAGCGTTCTGGAAATACAACCAATTGGTCATCTCGTAGTACTCGCGGGTACCCTTAGGGTAAGAGATCTTGTAGTCCTTGTCATATTGCTCGGCAAGATAGGTGAGAATGCCGCCAGATTCGAACAGACGGATCTTTTGGCCATCAGAGAAGGTGTCGGTCAGGGCGGGAATACGGCCATTGGGGTTGATCTCAAGGAACCAGCTAAGTGGCGTTAGCCATGCTCCTGTTCCACTATCTGACTAGAAGGTCACATACGGCTCTTTCTGGGTATTCTTGCTTATATCAATGTTCTGTACCTTATAAGGAAGTCTAGAGTTCCTATTAGTTCATCTGTGCTAAGAATGATGGGGTTAGATCACAGCCGCACCCCAGCTCTTCCAGCGCAATGGAGATCTTGATTCCATTGGGAGTCTGGCAGGTGTACAAAGTGATATCGGGTTGGCTCATCTTGGTTGAATATCTAGGGCGAAAGCTGGTCAAGTGATTGAGGCGGCTGTAGCGACAAATAATTGAAACTGAGGGACGAAAAGAAATCGAAGGGACAGCCGGTATAAAAAGCATCGTCAGGGAACTCATTGACTAACATTGACCCCGCGAATGGATGATTAATAGAGCATCAGTGATGCCATGGCCCGTCAAAGCTTCGGCCCCACTCCGATCTTGATTTCTAAGCTGCCAAAAGTGTGCTTAGTTAACTAGTTAACCATCCCACAACGTACAGCGGAATTATCAGGTGCTTCTTCCCTCATGACAGTTCTAGCACCTTCGGATGAAGCCAGCAGATAAGCACTGCAAGAGCAAGCTACAGCGGGAACTAAGGCACAGATCCATAGTCTAATGAATGGCTACACTGACATTGATATGCGCAGCTGAAAAACAAATGCTACATCTAAAACACAACCACACCGTATATACTACCCTATCGCCAATAAAAGCAACCAGTAACGAATCAAGATACATTTTTTTTGTGTGTATATACCCTAAAAGAATTCCCCACGTATGTCTGCAGAGAAGGTAGGAACGGACGTAAGAAAAGGAATGGGCAGAACGCGCGAGACTCGACTCAGCCATTTTGTGCATCTACCAGGTGAAACTTTCCTCAATGTAGTCGACCTGCGTTTGGTTCTGTCGCTTGCGGCAGACTCGCCGGACATCGTCACTAAGACCACCATTTCCACAAACAAGCACACCCATTGCACCCACTTGGGATTCAACCTCCATTCCGATAAGAGTGTCGATGTTTGGTCGGCCGGGGAACATCTGGACGGTGGAGCTTGGGCTTTGAATTTCTTTCGTGTTGCGGGGACGGGTGACGAACAACATGATACGCAGAACCTCCCGGCGGCGATCCATGGCCAAGATGCTGGTCATCCATGGGCGAATCCATTCGAGGTGTTCTGGGGATTGAATGATCCAGACGAGAGTCACGCGACGTGCAGCAACGGTGCCCTCTGCATATCCCTGGACCAGGTGGCGCACAAATGGTACTTGGTGGGTGATTCCAACACCGCCCGCAAACAGAACAACTGTACCGTAGGAGTCCATGGAATGAATACTACCATAAGGACCCTCGGCGAAAGCTCGCAACGTGACTTGGCTGTTGGGAGAGCTCAGGGCCCGTTGGAACAGCTTGTCAGTAAAGCCGGTCCGACGACGAACCAGTAGGGATAAGCTGGTGTGCTTTTTACCGAACATATCTTGCCGAGTCACGGGAAGTCCCTTCTCATCACTAACGAGCTCTTCCGCTTCGCTCCAACCGACAGAGAACGGGTGAGAAGACCACCATCCAACGGTAGGAATGTACAGATAGATGTGCTGGCCTGGCTTGAAGGTCCAAGGCCGCGCCATCCTCAGTGTGATTCTCATGGCGTCCCCAGGGAGGGCCTCCACCAAGGCCGTAGTGGATTTCCTGCCACAGTTGCGGTACAAAAGGATAGCAAGTCTCGAAGCTCGCTCGAGAGCCCAGAAAATGATAGCAACGAGCAAGTATGTCTGTGCTGGAAGCCCATTGAGATGAACCCACAGGAAGCCCATTGAGAGCGCAGCCATGATAATGTGTAGGTGGAGGAAAGTTTCATAGAATGCATGGCGGATGGGAGATGGGGAATGCACCACGAGACCCACGAATGCACATGTAGCCTGTAGCGAGGTAAGCAGATATCCATAAGGCCCGCCGGCCAAAATAACTTACAATCAAGCCGACCAGGAGGAAATTGCTATGTCCAAGAGCCTTTCCAACGGCACTCCAGCCAACTAAGCAGTAGTTAGCACCCAATGTTGACATTGTAGATCACGAGCTCTCCAGGGGACGTACTTTTCTGAGCCTTGGGAATGGCCCAAGCAAAGACATGGGCAAGAGTCTCACAGACGACGATCCGGGCAAGCCAGCGGTGGATCAGGTTATAAGTGTCGAAGGGTACCTCGAGCAGTTTAATCAGGGGGTTGTTTCTGCCGGCCAACAGCACAAGAGGAATCATATTCACTGTGGCCATGGTGCCTGTGCGGTTTCGGATGATGCCGGCAACAGAACTCTCCTCCTTCTTGTAAGGAACAGTCACAACACAAACGGTCACATTCATGGCGATGATGCCGATAAGGATAAAGGCATGAAAGCGACTTGGCAAGGTGCCCATGTTGACAGCCCGTGACAGCTGAAACTCCCGATTATGCCGAGTGCGAAGCAATGGCGCATAGATGACATGGTTTTTCACAAACGAGAGGGTCTCATGGGGTGATCTGAAGTAGCGCTGTCCTGAGTTATTGAAGCTTGCTAATCGTCTCAAATGGTGCGAGATCCGGAATCCCATCTTCCAGACATAGATGAACGCTGCCATCAGGCCGAGAACCATGAGCGTGATGCGCGCGAGGTCATCGTTGACTATCTCGTAGATCGCCCAGTCGCCACCACGCTTGTCGAGAACAGTTGCGGAAGAAAGTCCTACCAGGGACAGACAGAAAAGCAGGTAACTCATGGTTACTAAGAGGCCTCCTTAAAATGAAGCAAAAAAATGAAGGAAAGAAGACTCTATAGTCAACAGACGAATTTCAAGACTTAGAAATTGATGCGAGACCAGCTCGGCAGATAGAGAGATACCCGAATCAGCGATCGACGAGGGAAAGACTTCCAGTTAACTCGTCATAGAAGCCACACCGTGATGATCAGTAGCAAGTGGGCGACGAGAAATCCAGGGATTTATGATGCGATACGAGATGCCTATTGTTGTTAAGGCCCAGGGACTGAATGGAAGACAATGGCCTTGTTGCCGTCCAGCAATCTCTTTACGCCAGGCAGGAGACAATCGAGCTGCGGATCAAAGAACGACAGAGGATTCAATCCTTTGTTGAGAAAGGCAGGTCCCAGCAGCAACGGATCCTGATCAGAACTTGAATGCTTCGAGGTGTGGATTGCCACGGGTCGGCTGGCAACGAAAGGAATGTGAGAGTTGGTGAGGTGAACCAGTCACTTCTTTTTTTTCCAAGATTTCAAAGTCTTGCAGCTGTCACCAAAGTAAACGAAAAACTAGTCGCACGAAACCCACAGGATCTCTGCCAAGAATCCAAAATAGAGAACGAAAGCCCGCAACTGTTCGCCGGGACAGAAAGGAGAGATGATGATCAGGAGAGAAACTAGGAAAGCGTTCAAGGCATTTTGATTTCTTTTGGGTCAGGGACGGCGGGGACAGAGGACGTGGAAAATCTTGGGAGACATTTCTGGGCCCACTTATGGAGACGACATGATATCGATAGACTTCTCTGAGCAGAGGAGAGTGTGGTCGAGCCATGACGGTGTCTCTCAGCGCTCATCCCTTGAGTGGGCGCAACGCTGCGACGATATTGTGGCGGCAATGGCAGAACGGCCGCTGAGTGGCTCGACGATGAAACAACGGGGGTTGTAGGCGACGAGATCTCAGGACTCGGCTGGCTTGCATTCGTCGGGGCCTCCTTGCGCCCGCGGACCAATCTCAATTCAGTGGGAGGCTAATTTAAACTTGCTCAGGTCGAGAGGCGAGAAGAGTGGCTCAGTCAAGTGGGGGAATGAAGCGATAGAGCGCTTGAG